GCTCCGGTGCCGAGGGGTGGACGTGCGCGCTGCGCCTCGCCAGCCTCAGCACCCCGGGGCCGCCCGCCTTCCTGTCACCTCCACCTGGGGTCCGCGCCCGTCGCACCTCGCACGCGGTCCCGAGGGGAGAGAGCCGGGTGCGAGCAGAGCCCCGTCTCCCCCACCCCGAGATACCTCGGGCAGGTGCCTGGCATCCGCGTGCCAGCCGGCGCCTTCTCGCCCAGGACGAACTACGCCGCCGGAGCCGCCCCGGCGCCTCCGGACCCACCGCGAGCCCCCGGGACGTGATGGCCAGAAACCACTAACGCAGGTGGCGGCTTCGCCCGATGCAAGGCTGGGCTGCGGCGAGCGCGTTCATCCGGCTGGCCGTCGCGATCGCCGCCCCTGCGCGCCTCGGGGCTGGATCCCCCTGTATTTCCCTTGCACGTCTCTCGCTTTGTCCGCCTGCCACGGCTGGAGGCCGCGAGCCGTGTCCCGGGTTCGTAGCACGCCGGCGCTGCCCTCCTCAGCAGAGATGCCGTGGTGTCCAGGACGGGCAGGGCGCGCGGGTGAGGAGTTGCAGGGGCCAACCTCGTTGGCATCCTTTGGGGTTTGGGAGCTAGGAAAGAGTCTCGCCCTAGGTTCAGCCGTGCCCTGGCAGACACACGCGGTCCTCAAATGTGATGGGGCAGCTGATGGGAGCTGCGTGATCCGAGCCCCGGGCTGGGACGGATCCCTCTCGCTCTCTCACGAGTGTCTCGGTGATTTCCTTATTTCGCGGCCTGCCGTGCAAAAGTCATAACGCCGGGAGATCCGCCTGCATTCGACACTCACCCTCACACCGGGGGTGCCGTGAACAAGCGTGGGGTTTCGGGCTGTGTTTGTGGCCGAGTCGGTTCAAAGCAAAACCTGAGACCCACGAGCTGTGCTAGGCTGGAGGCGCGTCTCGGCGAGGGGATGGTGCCAGCCGCACGGCACGCGCGCCGATCCCGCCGTGGGACCGCATGCTGGGATTGCTCTGGTCCTCTTCGGCCCCTGGAGGCTCTTCCTTTCTGGCAGCGCTTGTGCCAGGAGCACGGGATAAAAGGATTAGGACTGGATTAGCCCGTGTCTTGCAACGTGGGCTGTTTTGCTGCTAGCTGCTTCTAAAGCAGCAATTCTGGGTTCACAGACTGCAGCAGCCGTGCACATCCAGCCAGGGGTGCCCGCTTGACCGGTGCCCTCTGGATCAAGCCCAGCTGCAGGCTTTGAAGCCCTGGATCAGCGCTTCTCAGCCGCGAGATCCTTTTAAGGGTCAAAGTGCAATATGAGCCCTGCTAGGTGTGCAGACACCTACGCCTGCTTCACAAGATGGAGATTTCAAATACAAATCCACAGGGTTAAAAAAACCCTCTGCCCTGCTGCATCTTTCTGACAACAGAATTGCTCCGGTATTGCTTTCCGTAGTCAAAATGCAAGTGAAAGCTCAGAGCTGGCGTTTTCCGAGAGCTGCCTTGAGTCTAGTGGGGTTAGGAGCCGTTGCCGATTGCTTGTATTGGAACAAACGTGATTTATCTGCGTTTCAGTTCAGGCAGAGCTGCCGAGTGCTTGGCGTCTTTCCAGCCCACTGCTTGCTTTGCGGTTACCTGTGCTCTGTTTAAGCACCTAGCAGCTGAAACGAGGAGGTAGCCGCGTCATTCAAGGCTTGTCGGTCACCCCTGACCTGCAAGGGGCTCTCCGTTTTAAGGTGTAAAGCCTTCCCTGAGCGCCGGAGGTGAGGTGCGAGGCGCTGGGCCTTGGCCTTAACTGTTGCTGGCACGACTGAGCGCTGTTTGCCTTGAATTCCCGTAAGCACGCGGCAAATTTCCACCCCGAGGCCGCGCGCTGAAATGGGAGCTCACCCCAGCCCTGCTCTGGGCAGACCCGGACGGGCCCTCCCGGAGCAGAGGAGAGGAGAGGACACCCCGGCGTGTTTTGCAGCGCTCTCGGGAAGCTGCCGTGGGGGTGCACAACCACCTTTCTCTTGCACAAGTAGCTGACAGCATGCGGAAAGGCCAGTTGTGTACACGCAGGTTGTCTTCCCTGCCACCTGATTCAAAACTTGGTACAATTTGCAGGAGGTCATGGGACCGGAGACCTGGAATTGCTCCCCGCCATGCACAGATCCAGAGGCCGGGCTACTATTATTATTATTATTATTATTATTATTATGTGTGTGTGTGTGTATATATATATATATATATATGTGTATGTTATTATCCTGGAGCTGACTATCTCCAGCATGCCTGGTGATGCACAGTACCTAAAGGAAAACCAGGCCCTGAGAGTGGGGCTGGACACAGAAAATGACCCCAACCCCTGCACGTGGCTGGAGGGCGCTGCAGCTTGCCAGGACACTTGTCCCTGCCCGTGGCCGCCAAGCTGGGGGAGGCTTTGAGCAAACAGCGAGGGGGTCAGCGGGGTCCAGGTGTGGCTGAGTATTGTGGGACCAGAGCACTCCCACCCACGCCCATGCCTCCCCGTGGCCTCGCTCTCCAGCTGCCCTGGTAGCACCCAGCCCATGGGGATTAGGCACTGGGCGGATGATGAAGGGACCTTCACGCAGCTGTAATTTGCAGTCTTGGGAAGGAAGAGCTCCTGCTCCCTTGTTAGAAACGAGCTGCAACACGCAGTGCCCAGCCTCTGGATGCCTTCCCGCGAGGGAGCGTCTGTTTAAAGGCTCGGGCGGGCGCTGGGAGGAGATGTTGGCACAGGTCAAACCGCTTCTGCCAGCGGTGCCTTCGCTGCGCACAAGAGCCTGCATCCAGTGGTAGCGTCGAGCAGCGAGGGAGCGTTTGGAGTAAAAACGGGGAGAGTAAAGGGGAGACTGGAGTGAGCCAGCACTGGCTCTGCGTGGTCAGAAGAAACTCTGCGCTGTTTCTCTCCGATCTGTCGGCTTGGGCTCCCAGCGAGGGGATGGGAAATGTGCCTCCATCCTCCCCGGGGGGTTTCCCTGCACAGACGCATGCCCGTCTCCCTCCTGAATGGGATTTCCAGGAAACTTCAGGGGTCGGGGCCGAGTCGCTGCTCCAGCAGTTGCT